GCCACCAACATGCTAATATGACGACTGTGATACTAACATGTATGACAGAGTCAGGGTTAGAATTTAATGTATAACCTGCAATAAAGTCCTGTGTTCAACGTCTTCCCTCAACCTACTTTATAAAAATTGTGGTGTTTGTTGTGTTTTGCTTTTATTTATCCTAAAAAATGGTGTCATTCTGACTAAACAGAATCTCACCAACAAGGAATCAAAGGGAACTTCCCTAACCTTATAAAGGTTCTCCCCAAACCCCTCAGGAAGCATCGAGCTTCCGTGGAGAGACGAACAGGTGTGAGATCTGTGAAGCCCTTCAAGGGAAATCTGAGAACGGTGCGAGGATGCCCACCTCACTGCTAACAGTCAGTGCTACCTCGGGATCCCCGCCAGGCCCGTCCGAGTTTATTCTGTGTTCCCGGCCTGCCTGCACAGCTCGTGGGAAGCAGCCAATAAAAGTAAGCTGTTATTATAATACTTCAGTTCATGTAATATACTTATGTAACCTCTTAATTAAGCATACTTAGAAGAATTTAATACGCGCGCGCACGCGCGCACACACACACACACACACACACACACACACACACACACGCCGAAACCGGTTTGGCTCAGTGGATAGAGCGTCAGCCTGCAGACTGAAAGGTCCCAGGTTCGATTCCAGTCAAGGGCATGTACCTTGATTGCGGGCACATCCCCAGCGTGGGGTGTGCAAGAGGCAGCTGATCAATGATTCTCTCTCCTCGATGTTTCTAACTCTCTATCCCTCTCTCTTCCTCTCTGTAAAAAATCAATAAAATATATTAAAACACATACACACACACAAATGTGTCCTTCCTCACAGGCCAACTGATGGTTTAGAAACTGTGTGGTAAATTGGGAAACTAACTGGAGAGTCTATGGACGTTTCTGGGTGTAGGATCCAGAGCAGGAGCTGAGGAGCCCATGGTGAGTGTCCCAAACCAAAGTTCTAAGAAGCAGAGGAGCACAAATCAGAGGCAGACAGGCCCAGAAAGGAGCTGAGCCTTGGAATGAAGACCACCACGTCTCGCTGCTCTTGTTTGGCATCTGCGTGCGTGACCAGGTGTGGCCCGTGGGTCCCAGTTTTTGGGCGCCCTGGTCTCCCGCTCCCACTGTGGACACCACAATCACCATGGACACTCACCTGACATACGTCTGCAGCTGGCATGTCAGGAGCCTGAGGAATCAGGCATGGATCTGACAGACAGACGCACCCACCGTCGGCACTGCAATACGTAATTGCAGTGAGCTCCAATTCCCACCTAACATGACCATTCTCTGTATCTATAAAGTCAATTTTAGATGATCCCACCATGAGAGAGAAGCAGTACTGTCATCTACAACTACCAACAATCCCTCATGCCCTTGGTTTGGAATGTATCATGGATCTTCGTAGTGGGAATACCTTCCCAATGAAAAGTTTTCTTGCACTGCCCTTAAAATAAGACTTAGTTGTCTGAATATAGATTAATAACAAAAAAGGATGACCCAGTAATGTGATGGAAGGCCACTTTTTGCCCAATGAGTATCAGTATGTCGGTCAGTCTATACTGAAATACTTGAACTTCAACAACCTCAGGAAGGCAAAAAGAACACCATTTGCCGAAACCGGTTTGGCTCAGTGGATAGAGCCTCGGCCTGTGGACTGAAAGGTCCTGGGTTCAATTCCCGTCAGGGGCATGTACCTTGGTTGCAGGCACATCCCCAGTAGGGGGTGTGCAAGAGGCAGCTGATCGATGATTCTCTCATCGATGTTTCTAACTCTCTATCCCTCTCTCTTTCTCTCTGTAAAAAATCAATAAACTATATATTAAAAAAAAAAAAAAAAAGGACACCATTTATAAGGTTAATATAAACCTGGTAAAGGAAAGTAACCCAGTGGCAGGTGTGAAAGATGCCCAGCCCCTGTAGACAGCCTGCTGAAGGAAGCTCGGAGCCCTCTCTGTTCCCTCTCATTCTTGGGGCAAATGACTGGGTGATGACACTGCCATAGGGTTCCTTACACGTGAGCTCTAGTCCTCCCGGTCTGTTTCCATCATAATTCCCAAAGCACTGTCCAGTGTGGCAGCCACCAGCCTCGTGTTTCCCGAGCCCTTGACCTGCAGGTATGCCGTAAGGGCGAGATACACACCAGACTTCAAAGACTTTGTACGCTAAAAACAATATACAATCGGCCGAAACTGGTTTGGCTCAGTGGTAGAGCGTCGGTCTGGGGACTGAAAGGTCCCAGGTTCGATTCCAGTCAAGGGCATGTACATTGGTTGTGGGCACATCCCCAATAGGGGGTGTGCAAGAGGCAGCTGGTCGATGTTTCTCTCTCATTGATGTTTTCTAACTCTCTATCTTTCTCCCTTCCTCCTCTCTGTAAAATATCAATAAAATATATTTTAAAAACAAACAAACAAAAAAAACCTTTAAAAAAAATATATACAATCTCCTTCATAATTTTTACATTGATTACTGTTGACATAATCTTTTTTATGAGCCAAGTAAAATGTCTTATTAAAATTAATTTCAGCCCTGACCGGTTTGGTTCAGTGGCTAGAGTATGGGCCTGCGAACTTAAGGGTCCCAGATTCGATTCCAGTCCAGGGTATGTCTTGGATGCAGGCACCTACACTACTGTGCAGGAGGCAGCTGATTGATGTGTCTCTCTTATCAATGTTTCTAACTCTATCCCTCTCTTTTCCTCTCTGTGAAAAATCAATAAAATACTTTAAAAAATTTAATTTCACCTGGTTATTTTCATTCTTTTAACCGTGGCTACTAGGAACTTTTAAATTACGTATGTGGCTCACTGGCAGCTCACGTTGCATATTCCCTGGACAGTGCTGATTTAGAGACAAACGGTATTTTAAATTGTGTGTGTGTGTGTGTGTGTGTGTGTGTGTGTGTATGCCTAAGTGACTGGCCTACCAGCCGTTAGCTATGATGTGCAATGACCACCAGGGGGCAGATGCTCAATGCAGGAACTTCCGAGTGATAGCAACTTTTCAGTTTCCTCTAACACTCTGGGACCCCTCAGGGGATGTCAGACTCCCAGTTTTGGTCTAAATCCCACAGGCCAGGCCAAGGGACCTCACCTGCCAGAGGGATCCCACTCACTCCCCAAGATGCCCTTCAAGCCCCAGCACTACCACAGGTGTGGCCGGCCAGGGTGGGACTGTGGGAGATTAGCTCCAGGGTGTGTCCGCCCAACTCACCCAGTCCCACCCCACTGGCTCCTTCTAATTAATTTCCATTCAATGTGCATGAATCCATGCACCAGGCCTCTAGTGAATGTATAATATGCAACATCTTACACAAGGATGTCGTTTAAATGAACGAGGCATGAGGCCCGCCGGCCATGAGTTTGACATGCTTGAAAAACATTTGTCAATATGGTCATAAGACCCTTTGTGTGTTGTTGGATGGTCAAGTCCTAGGGAGGCAGGTCTAATACTATAATAATAATATAAAAGAGGCATCTTTTACTGAGCTCCAACTTTTGGCAGGGATACTGCTAAGTGCTTCCAGTAGATTATCTATAATCCTCCCAACAGGGAGGAATAATTCGGACCAGAGAGACTAAGTAGTTTGTCCCAGCTCACACAGGAAGTGCTAGAGCCAGGCTCTGATGGAGGTCTATCTAAGGCCAAGGCCTGAGCCCCGTGGTACTCAAGGAGAGAAACGGGGAGAGGCCTGCTTGGAAGTGACCTTCCCTTGTGAAGTGGTTGCTATCCACCTGGGCAGGGACCACCCAAGCCATACATCGGTCATTAAGGAGGTGCTCCTGAGACCAGGCTGGTGATCACTGGAGGGAAGGGGGCCAGGGGACTCGGTGAAAGAGGGGAAGAAATTGAGAAGTACAAATTGGTTACAAAATAGTCACAGGGATTATGATGCTAAGTGAGAGAAGCCAGTCAGAGAAAGACCAATACCGTATGATTTCACTTACGTATGAAATCTAATGAACATAATAAACAAACAAACAAAATAGAAGCAGACTCATAGACACAGAATAATCAGGGTGTAACGTACACCATAGGGAATACAGCCAATGATATTGTGGTAACTCTGTATGGTACTGGGTGCATACTGAAAATATCAGGGGGCCAGTTTGTAAAGTATACGATTATCTAACCACTCTGCTGTACACTGGAGACCAATACAAAGTAATTCTGTAATATTACTTTGCAGCCTGTAATTGAAAATTTAGACCAATTTTTTAACAATTAAGAAGGTGCTCTATTCTGCTCTGGACTCGTGGAGTGGACAGTTTGAAACACAGCACGCCTCCCGAATCTGCCTGGGGCCAGCTGCTCACCCTGCTCCGCCCAGGAGTGGCTCTGGGACAGGAGGGGTGCCCAGCAAAGCCCACCCGAGACAGCAGGGCAATGGCGCCAGGTGAGGGGGCACCACCCAGGAGACAAGCCTCCTGTGTACCCCTAGCCCAGCCTCACCTCCTGACCCTGTCCACTCTTGGGAAATGCCTCAGTCACAACAGCACTAATGGGTGGGAAGCTCTGGGACCCTGGGGAGGACGCAGCCTACAGCCAAAGGGGCCACAGAGAGAAGAGGCTCGCCAGAGAGCCAAGACCCACTGCCAACAGGCAGTCTCGCAACCCCGAAATACCCCCTGCCACCGAGCTTGGGAAGAATCAGGCATGCAAGCTCCGGCACCTTCGTCCCCCTCCTCCCCAGCACGCTCCTCCCGACCAACTGATGGGAGTCTACACACATCTGCTCGCCCGCCACGAGTGCCCACGAAAAGCAACTGCCTTTCTGCAGCAGCTGGAATGTAAGTGCAGGGCGGGGTGCTCAGGAGGCTCGGGGTGCTGGGAGAGCTGGCCAGAAAAGAAACACACACAGAGAAAGCACAGTGGCATGCAGACATGGACCTGGGCGTCTCTGAGCAGCTCCGACGGGACCCTGTGCCACCTCTGCTGTGAGCAGGGGCCTGTCCCCAGAATGCCGAGCGGCTCAGCTCGCCGTGGGGCACTTACGTAATCCTCCTCGTTGAGGCCTTGTTTCTCCACAGAGCTCTTCACCTCCATGGAGAACTTCTCAAACTCGGGCTTCACCGTCCTCAGCAGAGTGACCGTCTGGAGGGACGAGTACGCCTGCTTAGCTTCAAAGTCGTGCTTGTCCCCTCTCTTCCACGAGCCGTCTCCTGCGGGGGGAACGGAAATGTTTATCCTCCCCAGCCGGTCGCCATCGAGGCCCTCTCCCTTTCTGGCTGCAGGCGCAGGAGGCACGGTCCTGGTGTTGCTCTTGGGCAGCACCTGACAAGGAGCGTCAGGATCCTCAGAGAAGGAGGCCCTTCGGAAGAACGTGTGCTCCTTTGAAACGTGAGAGAGAGCAAAGCTCTGTGGCCTCAACTACTTTATCGTCACCAGGAAATCGTATATTTTAGTCTCCAAGAATTGCAAGACGGGAGGTGTAAGAAGGAAGATTCACCCGGCCGGCGTGGCTCAGGGATTGAGCATCCACCTATGAACCAGGAGGTCAGGGTTCGACTCCCGGTCAGACCACAGGCCCAGGTTGCCGGCTCCATCCCCAGTGTGGGGTGTGCAGGAGGCAGCCCATAGGTGATTCTCTCTCATCATTGACGTTTCTCTTTCTCTCACACGCCCTCTCCCTTCCTCTCTGACATCAATAAAAAACACATTTTTTTAAGAGCAGTAAGTTTCACTCCTCATTCCCACTCAGCTTTTAATCGCTACAATCAACTGGGGAGGTCAGCCAAGCTGCTGCTTGGGTGCAGTCAGCCTGGCGTGAGGCAGAGGGGGTGGCAGGAATGGCTCCATGTGACGACGGGTGCAAAGGGTGGGAGCGGTGGCACTGCTACGACGGAAAAGTTTCAGATCACCAATCGTTCTCGAAGTATTTTTGGAACCTCTTCAGAGTGAGAGGTCGTTTAGGTGAGTGTGAGAGCTTGCATCTCTAGCACTGGCAACATCATCACATTATTTCTGGGACAGTGTTCGCCGGGAAATGAAAGCTGCTAACATGTACAGATCTGTACTATTACAAGCCTATGTGGTCGTCAGGCCCTCACACTGTGATGCCCTCACGCCCTCACAACCCACCACCAGGAAGCTGTGTGCTCAGCGGGCACACGAGGGTGGGCGGGGACCTGTAGCTGTGTGCTCGCCGAGGACTGGCGGCTTTGTGCAGCGATGCCAGGGGTGGGGGCCCTGGCTCCGGCCTACCTCTTTGGGGCAATCTGTTGAGGAGCCCCAGATGGGTGGGCGGGACCTACCTCTTTGAGGAGATCGATCTTGGGGCTCCCACACTGTTAGAGGGCACAGGCCAGGCTGGGGAACCACCCCCCAAGTGCACGAATTTCGTGCACTGGGCCTCTCATTTATAATAATAATCTCTCATTATTGAGCACTTTATAGTTAGAAACTCACTGCATCCTCACAAGACCCAGGGTGTGGGTACAATGATCATCTCGATTTCACAGATGAGGAAACCGAGGCACAGGAAGCTGGGTGCCCCACTGCCTCCCAGCTCTCCCTTCACAAAAGCCAAGGCAAATGACGCGGGTAAAAACCAGCACTCTCTACAATCTCATTTCTTTAGAAAATACATGGCCTGCAGGGCCCCAAAGAAAAGGTGGCCCTCTAGGGTGGGCAGATAAGCTGGTGTTTCTGAGAACCATCCCTGTGATCCCCTGAGATCCGGGAACACAACGGGAACTCAACCCCTGGACTCCAACTCCTAAGCCATTTGTTCGCGCTGAGTCCCGGGCCCCTGGTGACGCCGGCGGCCCAGCAGCCGAGCGTGAGGGTGGTTCCCGAGTGTGAGGCCGGGCTCTGTGGCCCCTCTCCACGCTCACGGAAAAGGAGCTGTGGCCTGGGGATGTCCATCGCAGCGGGAGCCAGACAAACGTGGGTTCCCTGATCCTGGTCAGAGTCTGAGGGAGCCACCACTGTGGACGTCATAAGTGTCTTAAACAGTCTCCCCCACCCCAAAGAGAAGGATTCAGAGACGGGGGGGTCACAGCTGAAGGTATTATGGGTGGCAGCTCCCTGGGGAGCAGGAGGGGGGACAGAGCAGCGTGCAGAGGGAGAGGCAGCCAGCTCCAAGGACAGGCGGCGAGGAGGAGGAAGGCTGGCTGGCTGAGCAGAAGGCCCAGGCTCAGGGGCAGAGGTGGCGGGTGGCAGCTGCTCGAAGGTAAATAAGACAGAGCCAAGGACGAAATTCATTAAGGGCCAGATCTGTGCTCAGTGAGCACGAGGTTAAATGTCAGGCCACCCAGCAGGACCTGACCACATCCTCCTCTCCCCCATCCTCCTCCTCCCCCGGGAGTCTCCCGCACACCGGGAGGCCTCGGCGAGGAGCAGCGGTGATGGCCCTGCTCAGAGGGAGCTGCGGGTCGGCCCCAGAGCCTGGCCATGAGGGAAGCTGTTTCTCAGGGGCATGCGATCAATACTTATTGATCCACTGTCCATTGATTTGCAGTGTCAAGACTCAGCAAGAGTGGTGAGTCTTAGGCAGAGAGGGTGAGGATTGCTCAGCTGGGGGAAGAGCCCTCTCCCGGGATAACCCCCTGGCGCTGAGCTGTGCTGAGCTGTGCAGCTAGAAAAGGACAGGGCCCTGGAGACAGTAACCCTCTCAGCTCCTACAATGGAGAAAACAGCTTTTATTCTGAAAGACATGAAATCCAGTACGATAAATGTGTCTGCCATCGTCTAAAAATAAACCCTGCCGGTGGCTCAGTAGTTGAGCATCAACCTAGGAACCAGGAGGTCACGGTTTGATTCCTGGTCAGGGCACAGGCCTGGGTTGTGAGCTCAATCTGTCAAGATTTCTCTCACGAAATGTGAGAGAGAGCAAAGCTCTGTGGCCTCTCACATTTCGGTTGTAGAGGGTGTGCAGGAAGCAGCCGATCCGTGATTTTCTCTCCTCATTGATTTCTCTCTCTCTCTCTCTCTCTCTCTCTCTCTCTCTCTCTCTCTCTCTCTCTCTCTCCCCCTTCATCTCTGACATCAATAAAAAATATATTTAAAAATAAAAGACAATGATTTTGAAGTTTTGTTTTCTAAAAATAAAGAATGGAGACAATGGTGCTTAATAAGTTTAAGCCAAACCAATAGGCGTCTAGTGGCAAACATGCTGACACCAGGACGCCCCGCTGTGGGGTTCTCACTGGATGTGCCAGGGACACCTCCCACGGGGCTGCTGGGCCCCAGGGAGCAGAGGTGGCCTGGCGGGTGGGACATGATCCCACGGACAGCGGGTGCCTCTGGGGGTTTATGGGTGGCACGGGAGATGGCGTGATCAGAACCATGCCTGGGAAATAGCGATGGGTTAGGGTGGGGGACAAGGGGGGCTCACAGCCCCAGCCACCAGGTGAGGGGTCCCAGGTGGGAAGCCATACCACCAATTAACCGCGTGTCCGGGCGGCGAGAATCATGGCCAGTTTGTCTCTTTCTTCCCTTGTCTCTCCCTTTCTTTCTTCTGGCGTCTCTTTATCTGGATCTCGGAAATGTTCAGTCATAATTATGTACTGCTTTTTTTAATCATGAAGACAGGGAGGGTCCTGGGAATGCAGCAGAGGACGCAAGAGGAATCTCAAGACTCCACTGAGGGAGGGAAGGAAGGACAACAGCTAGAGAGGGAGTGAGGGACAACAGGACAGGCGCGGCACCAGCGATGCGAAGAGGGGAGGAGAAGGAGCTGCCGTCAGAGGGAAGAGCCGGGCCAGAGGGAGGAGGCGGATGTGGACATCGTGGGGTGTCAGTCAGGGTCACCGTCACCCTCAGGTGACTGACTGCAGAATGCCCGGGGAGGGCTCCCGGCCGGGAGGGACCGGCAGCCTGGACAGAAAGAGGGGCAAAGGCTGGAGGAATGTGGGTGTCACTCCACAGGCTGGGGGGGCAGGCTGGCTGGGCTGGCTGAGAGAGTGCAGGGAGCGGGGAGGGGGCTGGCACCAGCACTGGGGGAGGCTGTTTTGGGGGCAGAAGGAGGAGGAGGAGACGGGAGCTCACAGAGAACCAGAAGGGGCTGTGCCATCAGCACGCAGAAAGCGGAAAGTCTGGGAAGAAACGGGGGAACGATGCTGACTGCGCTCAGCTGTCACCAGCCACGCGGGTGACTAACCCAGCGGAAATTAATTAAAATTAAATGAAATTTGAAACTTTGTTTTTCCATCGCACTGGCCACAGCCAGTGCCCTCCGGGTCCTCAGAAGACGGGACGTCCCACACAGTCCCGGCGGGGTTGCCCCAACAGCCTCCCTCCCGCCCGACGGCAGAGACGCCGCCCTGGCACTAACAAAACCCAGGGGACCACGGCTGTCCTCTTCTCTCGAGACTTTGTAAATCCACCCTTTCAGGCAATGTTTTGTCATTTCAATTCCCCCACAGTATGTGCTGTGCTCCTGTCATCACAGAACTCAGGCCGATGTGAGAGCTCATCAGGCCCAAACAGCCTGTAATCAGTCCATATGAACACACCGTCAAACGTTTTTAAAAATCCAATATCAAGGCAAGGGAGAGGAGAGCGGGGGAGGTAAGAGATCAACCAGTGGACACAGGCAGCAGCAGGGGGTGAGGGCATGTGTTGGGGGGCGGGGGCGGACAGGGAGAGGTCACTGGGGGAAAAGGAGACGTGTAATACTTGCAACAATAAAAATTTAAATTTAAAAAAAAGAAAGAGCAAATCCAGTATCGAGGACTAACTGAAATCGGACCTTTCTGTGGAATGGGTGTGAGGGGTCCGGGGGAGGGAGCACGGGGGGAGGACTCCTGCTGGAGCTCTGCAGAAACGTGCCGCTGGGCCTTAGGAGAAGGCCCTCCCTGGCCATGGCACCAGGCCCTGCTCTGGCCCCTCTGCCTGCCACAGGCTCTGTTCACAGACTCTGCTCTCCGGGGGAAAGGAGCTCCGGGGTCCGGGACAAACAGGGACAGCGGCCTCTCTAGCTACAGCCACGGTCCCTTCTTCCTCACTGATCCCCGCGCTGATTTGGGGTCGCGGTGAGTTCAGCTAAAAGCACATTTTGTGACGCCGCTCACAAGCAGGGTGGACAGTGATGTGTGAGCAGGGGTTAGCGCGGGGCTTCAGAGAGCTCTTCCAGCAGAATGAGTCAGTGGCCTCCATCGTCCCCTCTGTGTCCTGCCTGGGATTTAGACACGACCCCTGGAGCCCGCGCTGTCCGCTGGGTCACTGAGGCTGGAGGCAATTCACCAAGACCGAGGAAGCGGAAAGTCAGAGGAGCTTGTGGCATCCAATGAACAGAATAACCCGATGAGCAAAACAGATCCAGAGACTTAAAGAGTGGACCAGACCGACGCATCAGGGGGCAGGCGGGTGGAGCGAGGGGCACTGGATGTGGCAGAATTCAAATGGAGAAAAAATGCACGTCTTTGCTTATGGACATGAAAAGAAGTTAAAATAAGTAAAATAATTTAACAGGGAGATGACAAAGATGTAGGAATAGACACTCTCATACACTGTTGCAAAGTGTAAACTGGTAAACTCTCCAGAGGATAACTTGGCAATTTCTATCAAAACTTAAATGCATATTACCTTTGACCCAGAAATTCTTCTAGAAATTTATCTTACAGAATAAATGTGTGCCTGTGTGCAGATGTACAGGCATGCACACTCGATTAGCCTCATTCTGCGAGCAACACAGATATTTAAAAACAGAAAAAGTAAAGATGACAGGTTGGCATTATAAAATACTGGGTAAATAATGCATTAAATTTTATATATTTGTTTTATATTTTCAATGCATTCTTAATCTTTAAGAAAGAAATAGAAACAATGAATAATACCGTGTACCCCTACTAGAGTGATCATTTTATTAGAAACATTTTTGTAAAGCCCTGACTGGTTTGGCTCAGTGGATAGAGCGTTGCCTGTGGACTGAAAGGTCCTGAGTTCGATTCTTGCCAATGGCACATGCCCAGGTTGCGGGTTCAGTCCCCAGGGGGGAGGGGCTTGCAGGAGGCAGCCAATTATTGATTCTCTCTCAACATTGATGTCTCTATCTCTCTCTTCCTCTCTGAAATCAATAAAAAAAATTTTAAAGAAAGAAAGTAAACGCTTTCCATCACTTTTATTGATGGCTCCTGAGCTTCTACATGAGAGTTTACCTAAAGAGTAATAAGGAATCTGAAATGAAGGGGAGCTGGGAGCAGAGCCTGTCAGAATGTTGCACCTCAGATTACAGTAATGGTTGTCTTCTTTTTTCACACTGTGGCCCATTACAAACATGCCGTGAACATGCATAAACATACACTGAGTGGCCAGATTATTATGATCTCTGGATGCATAATAATCTGGCCACTCAGTGTATACCCTATATAATAAAAGGCTAATATACAAATTGTTCCCTCGACCAGGAGTTCGACCAGCAGGCAGCCTGACCAACCACCCATGTCCCCTCCCCCTGGCCAGGCTGGCCGCACCCCACCCATGCACGAATTCATGCACGTGAGTTTGTGCATGAATTTGTGCAATTTGCATACACACACACACACACACACACACACACACACACACTGAGTGGCCAGATTAGTATGCGTTCAGAGATCATAATATCCTGGCCACTCAGTGTATACACATGAACATAGCACTTATATAAAAGTTTTATGAAACAATATAGCTACATGTGACCCACTTTGACGTGTCCTATTCCAGTACATGGATATTTCTAGTTTATTTCATCCCACTAAAAATTATCCCCACAGCCCATCCCGGAGGCAGCCTGCAGTGGAAGTGCACGAGGGAGGGTGTGCAGGGCCTGGATAAGACCATCTGGAGGCGGGTGCCCTGGGTGAGACCACCTGGAGGCGGGTGCCCTGGGTGAGACCACCTGGGAGGGTGCCCTGGGTGAGACCACCTGGGCGGGTGCCCTGGGTGAGACCACCTGGAGATGGGTGCCCTGGCTGAGACCACCTGGAGATGGGTGCCCTGGCTGAGAGCACCTGGAGATGGGTGCCCTGGGTGAGACCACCTGGAGATGGGTGCCCTGGGTGAGACCACCTGGAGATGGGTGCCCTGGGTAAGACCACATGGAGAGGTGCCCTGGGTAAGACCACTTGGACAGGTGCCCTGGGTGAGACCACCTGGAGGCGGGTGCCCTGGGTAAGACCACTTGGACAGGTGCCCTGGGTGAGACCACCTGGAGATGGGTGCCCTGGGTAAGACCACTTGGACAGGTGCCCTGGGTGAGACCACCTGGAGGCAGTGCCTTGGCATCAGGGCGTGCGGGATCGTCTTTGCTGAGTTCCCAGAGCAGCACAGCTTAAGAACTGAGAAGTCATAACCTGCTCAGGATCCCCAACTCCTAAACCCCCAGCTGTGAAACCTGCTGGTGGAACTCCGTTATTGGCCCTCCCGGCCCCGCCCCCAGCCGGCGAGGGGACCGTTACCGTAGGAGGAGCTGTTGAAGAGCTCGATGTTGAAGAAGGCGTAGTCCCCGCTGGTCATCCCGTGCCTGTGCGCCGCCAGCATGATGCCCCGGATGGTGTCGCTGCTCGCACACATGATCACCACTGGGAGGAGGAACAACAACACGCATGAGACCCCTGTCCGGACACAGCGAGGACCCGAGACCCACGGGGGCGGCCGGCAAGCAGCGGGGCAGGCACATGCCCTCCGGTGTCCTCACAAACACATATAGGTTACCGAGGGGAACCGAGGGGAATAGCAGTGACATGACTGTGGAGACATGCAGAGGATGTCACCGTAACAGGATGGAAGCCAACGTCCCAACCCCAGGAAGAGACCCCTGAGCCTCCGATAGAGCCCACCCCGGACCAACACCGACAAAGTGGGGGACCTGAACCCAATGGGGGAGCAGCCAGAGTGGGGACCGGCTGTAGAAGAGCTGGCCTGTGCACTTTGAAATGGTCAAGTTCGTGACAAACAAAGACAGGCTCGGGGGATGCCTAGTCCCGTGGTCGGCAAACTCATCGGTCCACAGAGCCAAATACCAACAGCACAACGATGGACATGTCTCTGGAGAGCCACATTTTTTAAACCTAAACTTCTTCTAACGCCACTTCTTCAACATAGACTCGCCCAGGCCGCGGTGTTTTGTGGAAGAGCCACACTCAAGGGGCCAAAGAGCCGCCTGTGGCTCACGAGCCGCAGTTTGCCGACCACAGGCCTAGTCGAAAAGACCCAGAGGAGCAGAATGCTCAGGGCCATGTGAGCCCCTGGAGTGGATTCTGGCCCTTTAAGAGGTAATAATAAACTTTGCTATAAAGGGCTTTGCTGGGACAAGGGGAGAAAGCTGAGGAAGGCAGGAAAGCCAGCTAACAGCACTGCCGCTGTGCGGGAGGGCTTGTCTGCTCGCAGCCGCTGTGGACTCGCAGGGAAGGTCCTTTTCCCGAGGAGACACACTGAGTATTTAGGCGTCAGCAAGCATGATGGTTTGTACTTACTCCCAACTAGTTCCTCACAAGTAATGTCTCCATGTGGGGTACATGTGTACATGTATGAGGGGGAAAGGTGGGGGAGGGGAGGAGGAGGAGGTTTAGAATGACGAAGTGAAAGCGGCAGAATGTTAACAATTGCCAAAAACCTGGGTGAGGTCTATAGCAGAGATGGTTTTTTATTCATTTCTCACATCTTCTCCCAACGCGTAGTTATTTCAAAATAAAGTTTTACAAAATGTTTCCAATGAGCCGCCAGATTTGCCCAACAGAAGACGGCGAGGAGTGCCAACTGCTTTCTCCACTTAACCGCCTGGTAAACAGCTTTTCCCGGAAAAGCAAACTTCATGGTTTGGGGGGCCTCTTCATGTGGCAAATCAGAGGGCGAGCGAGGGGCCGGCTTCCTGCCGCCTGGACTCTGAAACCGCCCGCCCGGCTGTGCCCGCACCCGGAGGGGCAGGTGCCAGAGCCCAGGTCCCGCCCCGCTCCCTCATTCAGAGCCACATGGTCAGACGGTCAGACGGTCAGACGGAGGGGCCTCAGGCAGCTCCGGGACACCGCTGCCTGCTCATAAGAGCACCCATGGCCATTACCCAGCAAACAGTCCTTATCGCTGGCCCTTGTCCCCATGACCGGACCGCTGTGTGGGGCGCACCTGGAGGAGGGGAGAGGCTGGGAGAGGCCCCCCCCCCCCCCCCCCCGCGCTCCAGCTCCCAGCAGGGGGCGCTCTTTGCGAAGGCCTGGGAGCGGGGAGACCTCACACACGTCCAGGCCCAGCCGGCCGGCCTTGGCCCCCGCGAGGCGGGCCTGTGGGTGTTCCGTGTCCTGTGACCTTCACTGCGTGGGAGGCCATGACTCTGACATTCCGTGTGCGCCTGCCAGCTCCGGGGACCGTGTCTCTGGACAACACGGAGCTCGGAGAGTGCTGCCTCTGTGCGTGGAGGAGCTGTCTGTGCCAGGAACACGCTGACACGCTTAGGGAACATACAGATTCCCGGGGGAACACGCTGACACGCTTAGGGAACATATAGATTTCCAGGGGAACACACTGACACGCTCAGGGAACATACAGATTCCCGGGGGAACACGCTGACACGCTCAGGGAACATACAGATTCCCAGGGGAACACGCTGACACGCTCAGGGAACATACAGATTCCCGGGGGAACACGCTGACACGCTTAGGGAACATACAGATTCCCGGGGGAACACGCTGACACGCTTAGGGAACATATAGATTTCCAGGGGAACACACTGACACGCTCAGGGAACATACAGATTCCCGGGGGAACACGCTGACACGCTCAGGGAACATACAGATTCCCAGGGGAACACGCTGACACGCTCAGGGAACATACAGATTCCCGGGGGAACACGCTGACACGCTCAGGGAACATACAGATTCCCAGGGGAACACGCTGACACGCTCAGGGAACATACAGATTCCCGGGGGAACACGCTGACACGCTCAGGGAACATACAGATTCCCGGGGGAACACGCTGACACGCTCAGGGAACATACAGATTCCCGGGGGAACACGCTGACACGCTTAGGGAACATACAGATTTCCAGGGGAACACACTGACACGCTCAGGGAACATACAGATTTCCGGGGGCCTCCGACGGGGGTGTTTGAGGAAACACCTCGTCGCTCAGTATGCTTCAGAGCTTTGTCTCAGCACCGATTCCTTCTAGCCCCCGAAATTAAAGGAGAGCGAAGGCGCCCCACAAAACAGCCAGGAAGGGGCTGAAGGCGGACACGTGTGAGGAGCTCGGCCTCCCAGAGGGGGCACCCCGGGAGGGCCCAGGGGGCTCCGGCCAGCGGTCTGCCCCAGCCCGCATCGCTTTCCGGTAATTACTGAGCCCCCGGTCCGCCTCTCCCTCCCGGACGCACCTCCTCCTGCAAGCACATAGCGGAGGACGGAGGGAGCCCTGGTCACCTAACCCAGACGTTCTCAGATGCTCTGACAGGCAGACGGCTGAAGCTCCATGAGGACCAAAGCACATGAACATGCGTGTGTCGACAGGCACCCAGGCATGCTGACTGGGGAGTGCATGAGGATGAGCTCAGAAGCAGTCACTCCGCTGGATGATTCAGCATCGGGGCGTGATGACCGAACGTGTCTGTCTAAGAGACATCTGCCGGCCCAGGACCGAAGGCGGGGTCCTCGGGCCAGCGCAGAAGCTCCCTAAGCCCTGCCTGGGACCTGCCGGGCCCTGGCCTCCCCGCGGCTTCTTCGTCTATTTTTACGGTCCTGGCCCATCCGGCTCTCCGTCCCCATCGTCATCCAGACCCATTCCTTCGGGCAGACGTTCCTTCTTTAAATGTCAGCGCCTCCGGGGACGGAGCAGGAGTGGCCTCAGGGGCACCCTTTATTTTAGGCCCCCCCGTGTGTGTTGACCCTGCGGCTTAGCTCTCAGCGGGGAGCCTGAGCTGCCACGTTCAGGGCAGGGTATTACTCTTCCTGCATAGAAACGATGACTCGGTTTACGTTGGAGCAAGGACTTTGAGACGCTGGCAGAGCGGAGAACCCGTCTAGGTTTGAAGGATGAGCCCTAATCCCGTAGGGTTGTTTCATTCCAGCCTCGTTCAACAGCAGGTATTTTTAGTAGCCTGCCTTTATAGAGTCTATCAGAAGATTAAAATAGTTCTCATTAAAATGGCGTTCTCCTCCTGCTCATGTTTCATCAGTTTGCATAACTCACCCAACTACATGCTCCAGTTACTAAGCACAGCGGGCACGAGCAGATGGGGGGACAGCTCCCGGGAAGTCTCCGGACAAGCGTTCGAGGCCCGCAGGCTCCCTGCCGGCGCTCACCGGCAGCAGGCAATGAGGTTTACAGAGAAAAGGCAGCAGCCGATCCTGTAAGCTGCCAGCGTAGAGATCAGGTAAAACCGTTTCTGCCCAGCCATGTGGCTCAGTAGTTAAACATCCACCCACAACCCAGGAGGTTCTGGTTCGATTCCCAGTCAGGACACCTGCCTGGGTTGTGGGCTCAACCCCCAGTAGGGGGTGTGCAAGAGGCAGCCGATGGATGGTTCTCATCATTGGTGTTTCTCTCTCTCTCTCCCTCTCCCTTCCTCTCTGAAATCAATAAAAATATATTTACTTTTTTTTTAAAGAAGAAATCTTCCCAGAACTAAAAGACATGAGTTTCTGGATTGAAGAGGCCTACCCTTCAATACCCTCAAGTGCATAAGGCAAAATACTGGCGTAAAAACCTACCATGATGGGATGTAAAAACATTGGGAGCAACAAAAATAGTCCAAAAAAATTCCTGGACAAAAAACAAAACAAAAAACACACAACATTCTATTGATAAAGAAGCAGAATCAATCCCAGCTTCCTAATAGCAATGCTGGGATCTATAAGACAATCCATCAAATTTTGAGGGGAAATAATTTCATATCTAGAATTCTGTAAATACATATGATGGTAAGATGAAGAAATTTTCTGTCATGAAATGTCTCAAACTCTAGCTCTCATTCATCCTTTCTGAGAAAGCTCCTTGAGGATGTGTTCCACTAAAACAAGAATATGAACCAAAAAAGAACACAGAGGGACCTAAGCAGAGGGGGGGTAACTCGGGGGGGGGGGGGGGAGTTTCAGGAGGATGTTGAAGAAAGAACCCAGAGTTACAACTGTGTAGCATGTTTAGAAAATGACTAAACTGGAGCAGCTCAGGAGACTAAAAGTATAAAATCCGTAGATGATTTAGTAATTCCATAGGAAACTAAGCAGACAAACGAAAACAGACTTTTTTCTAACCCCGAGGAAAACAAGCAGGGCAAGAAAGGAAATGTCATCGTGGTAGCCTGTATGGCTTGGCTATAAATAACTTTCGGAAGGTGATAATAATAATGTCGACACAAAATACTACTGAGCTAACCGAAAATTATAATGCAATCATCTTGGAAGGGAGACTGGGAGGGAAACCTGAGTGTGTGGTTAATAGGGAGCAGAAGAGAACTAAGCCAGCATCTTGCAGTGGGATGGTAAGAGATTAAAGCCTAGAACTGAAAAAATCAAAAGTAATAGGGGATTCAGAGGTAGGAGGTCCAATACCTACAGAAACAGCTACCCCAAGCCCCCTCTCCAGTGAATGCTAAGCCTGGACAAAGGCCCTGCAAATCAAACCCCACTGAGCCCAGGCAACCCATTAACTGCTTATGGCTGTCCGCTCTAAGTAGCATATTATGCTTTACATATAGATATATATCTATTTTATTATAGATATATATCTTAGTTTTTCTTTCTGCAGTACAGCATATAGCCAAATGAAATCTTAGTCATATTCGTACTTGAGATGGTGGAATTGTCAGTTTTCACCTTTCAAAAGATTCAGATATTTGTATCTGATTTTGAAGACGAACTTAAGTCCAAAAGAAGTGCTAAGATGGCCTCTGGGCAGTGAGAAATGGGGAGAAGGGGACAGGGAAGTCTGGTGCTAATGACACCTGGAGTTTTCTGACTTTTTAACCAAATAGCTCTATAACTCTCATAAAAATAGCATGTGTTTTTAAGAAAAGTGATTTCTCCCTGGCTGAGCCTACACTACACAGCAATGGGTTCTATTTGCAAAACAGAGGCTGCACCTTTATTTTTGTCGTTCACGAAGCTCCCTCTACTCAAAGGCTTTCAGCATTTGCACAGGGCAGCCTACAGTGCTTCTGTCCCCTGCTGTGGATCAGTTATCTCCCTTATCATGGGTTCTTTGCTTAAAAATTCTGCTGATCAACCACTTGGTCATTTCCCCCAGCCTAATTCTAAAAATAAATGACTCTCTACTGATTAAACGCTATCTCTACAGTGGTCTTGCAGTCCCAGCATAATGACACATTATTAATCAAAGGCTCGATGCATGAAATTTATACGGGGGGCAGGGGGAGAGGGGTCCCTCAGCCCAACCTGCACCCTCTCGAAATCCGAGACCCCCCAGGGGATGTCCGACTGCCAGTTTAGGCCCAATCCCCATGTGGCAGTCGGACATCGCTCTCGAAGTCCAGGACTGCTAGCTCCTGTTGCCCGCCTGCCTGATCGCTCCTAACCACTTGCCTGCCTGCCTGATTGCCCCTAACTGCCTCTGTCTTGACCCCCACTGTGGTGGCTTCATCCAGAATGACATCCAGAAGGTCCTTCAGCTGTCCAGTCTAATTAGCATATTATGCTTTTATCATTGTAGATAATAATAAAAAAATAACCAAATAAATATTTTTTAAAAACTAGATAAATATAAAGAAAAACTTTCTACAGTACAGCATATAGCTAAATGAAACTTTAGTCGTATTAGTATTTGAGATAGTGGCATTGTCAATTTTTACCTTTTAAAAGATTCAAATATTCGTATCAGATTTTGAAGATGAACTCAGGTCCAAAAAAAGTGCTAAAATGTGATCTCCAAAGGTGGTGGAGGGGGGACTCTCTAGCTCTGTGATGTTTAATGCAGAATTTCCAAAGACAGAAACACAGCCCACCACATCTTTACACAGAGGGAGCACGCCTCAGAACCACCCACCGCCCTGTGAGGGCCTGATTCCCGGCCAGCTCCCCGGTTCACAGAGGAAGGTGACCGCCCAGGCCCAGCCGCTGCGGAGCGGAGCACCTGCTTCTCACCCCGGGCTCCGCCCCAGGCTCGTCTTCCAGTGGAAGTGACTATCATTGTGTGCGCAAACGAATAACGGCTGGAATAAAACTCCACGTTTACTGTGCAAGGCGCCTGGGTTAGCTCGTTTAATCCTCCCAGCAGCCCTAAGGTGGGGGCGCCTGAGGAACCTGAGCTTTAGTAGCAACCCCAAACTTCCTTTCCAGTGAATGCTGAGCCTGGACAAGGCTCTGGCAATCAGACCCCACTGAGCCCAGTTAACCCATTAACTGCTTGCCCGGAGGTAATGGCCAGAGGGGAAAGGTCCCCAGAGAGAGCTTTGCCATCAGGATCCTTTCCCTCCTGAGGGCGGGGAATTTCGGGGAGAGGGGGAGAAACGATAGTTCTGACATCTGCCTGGTCACTGTTGGAAACACACTTTAGACAGGAACGGTGCCCTCTGCCACCTGTGCAATGCACAGGGCAGCCACGCAACTTCCACCGCGCATCAGATCTAGACGGAGAGGAGCAGGGACTGGGTGCGTGGGCGAGGCTTCTGGACTGAAAAGCTGATCAGCAGCAAAAGGCTGACGTCCAACCGTCTGAAGCCCCCCGCCCCCCAGAGCACTGTTGCCCTCCCTGCTCCCTGGGCTCAATCAACCACCCCTTGGGAGGCTGGGGGGGAGGGGGGGCGGCTGGCCAAGATCTGCCCTAATCTGAAATGACAGGTCCCCTGGGCCGCGAATTCCAGGCCACTTGCTGGGGACCTTCAGAGCAGATCTTGAGGGTTGGGGGACACACACCCCCACCCCAGCTGGCCCTGGGACGTCTCCAAGTCCTAGCACCCGGGCTGAGACGCGGGCTCCGGGGCCAGAGCAGCCCGGTCTTCAGGAGCCCGCAGCACCTGAGCCTGGAGGTGAGGGCAGATGCGGCCCGCAGACAAGCACCTTGTTCACCACGGAGGAGCCGGCACCCGCCCGCCTGGCAGGGATTCTGCACAGACCCGCCCGGAGTTCCAAAGCTCAGGACTTGGCGGCTGTCAGCACCCCCACCGTCAGCGCCCCCACCGTCACCGTCAGCACCCCCACCGTCAGCGCCCCCACCGTCACCGTCAGCGCCCCCACCGTCAGCGTCAGCGCCCCCACCGTCAGCGCCCCCACCGTCACCGTCAGCGCCCCCACCGTCACCGTCAGCGCCCCCCCCCCCCAGCTCCCCGCGCCGCAGCGGGCGCCCCCGGGGCGGAGCGGGCCCCTCGGGCAGGGCGGGGCCGCTGCCTCCTCCCAGGCGCCCCGCCCGCTCTCACCGGCCGCCGGTTCCTCGGGCTCCGCAGCCCGCGCCCAGGCCGCCCTGCACCTGGCTCAGCCTGTCCCCCGGCCTCTGGGCGGGAGGTCCTGGGGAGCCGGGCTGGGGTTGCACCCCCCTTACAATCCAGGTCGCGAGGGGGGGGGGGGGCAGAGGCGGGATCCCTCCAGCTCTGTGCACCCCAAACCTGCCACCGGCGGGAGGGCACTGCGCGCGGCTGCCTCTGGACCCGCCGTTCCCCGCCGCCCGCTCTGCGGTTAACGGGCCACACGGGCGCCGTCGCGATTACGGATCCGCGACCACCGGCTTCTCCTCCCGCCCCTGCGGCCGTGCCTCAGCCCCCGCTCCCGGCCCCCAGACCGCGGGGAACGTGGGGAGCAGATGGGGAGGCACCCCAGCCCGCTCCTCCGCGCGCTCCTCCCAGCGGCCCTCCCGGCGCTGGAGACCGGGTGCCGGCGCGCCTGGAGCGGCCGCCGGGCCGGACACCGCGGGCATTTTTGGTGGAAACCCAGACGCTCGTTTATAAGAGGCTGGAGGGGCGGCGGGAGGACCGAGAAGGGCGATAAAGGAGCCTCTAAGAGAAAGGGGGGGTCTGCGGAGGGAGCCGCCTGGGGACCCCCGAGACCCACGCTGGGAACCGAGAGGGGCGCGCGCTCCCCAGGAGGGGCTCCCGCCGCGGGAGGGGCGGCATCGGGGACGTGCTGGGCAGGTCCTGGGGCCTCACAAGCTTTCGTGTCCCGACCGGAGCCTGGCGCCCGGAGTGCGCCCCTCACCGCCAACCAGGTGCGGGCCAGGGGAGAGCAGAAGAGAAAAACCCAGAGTTTTACACCTGCCGGAGCTGCGGGCTCAGACGCCCCTCCCCCAGCCCCACCGCGTCCGCGGGGCTCTCTCCCCGCACCCCGCGGCACGCGCCCCCCGCCACCGGGTCCTCGGCGCCGCCGGGGGGAGAGGGCGCGGGGTCCGCCGAGACGCGCGCGGACGGATGCGCAGGGGGAGCCCGGGCGGGCGGCTCACCCCCCGCCCCGCGGCCCCCGCGCCCCCCGCTCACCCCGCACCCCGCGCCCCGAGGCCCCCGCGCCCCCCGCTCACCCCGCGCCCCACACCCTCCGCTCACCCCGCGCCCCCGAGCCCCCGCGGCCCGCTTACCCCGCGCCCCGCGCCCGCTCACCTCGCGCCCCCCCGCTCACCCCGCGCCCCACACCCTCCGCTCACCCCGCGCCCCGCTCACCTCGCGCCCTCCGCTCACCCTGTGCCCGCTCACCTCGCTCGCTGGCCTGGAGGAAGCGCACGATGTCCTCCAGGTCCAGGTCGTGGGCCTCGTCGAAGCTGTAGGCCGCCGTGTGCAGGCCCTGCTCCTGGAACACCTCGTGGACGCCCTCCAGGGTGAAGAAGCAGTTGCGCTCCAGCCGGTCGTCGCTGTAGAGCAGCGCGGCGCGGCGCCACTGGTGGTGGCGGAACAGCGCGAGCAGCATCTCGCCCATCTTGGCGTAGGCGGGCGCCACGCGCGTCAGGTGCGAGTACTCGGCGTCCTTGCGCTGGAAGCCGGCGGCCAGCGCGCCCGCGGACAGCATGGGCAGGTCCCAGTGCGCCGCCAGCCGCGCCACGGGCGCCGCCGCGTACTCGCACACCGGGCCCAGCAGCAGGTCGGGCCGGGCGCCGCGCGCCGCCGCCACGCGGTCCACGAGGCTGAAGAGCGCGCGGTTGCCGCAGCCCGAGTCCTCGTAGGCCACCTGGAAGCGCGAGCCCGGCGGCAGCAGCCGCGCGCCCGTGCCGTTGGCCTCCAGGCCGCGCAGCGCGTACTCGATGGCCGGCCGCACGCGGGCCAGCGAGAACGGGTACGAGTCGTCCCGCGGCAGCAGCACCAGCACCTCGATCGTCTGCGGCGCCGGCGGCGGCGGCTCTCTCCCCCGGCGCCTCGCTCCGCCGCCCGCGCCGCCCGCGCCGCCGCCCAGCGCCGCCCAGCCGAGCAGGGCGCACGCGGAGAGGGCCAGCGCCCGCAGGGACGGCATGGTGCCCCGGACCGCGCCCGCCCGCCGCCGCGCCCCTCCGCGGCCCGCCCCTCTCCGCGCGCCCAGGCCCCGCGCCCCTCGGGCGGGCGCTGTCCGCAGGTAAGATGCCCCTTCGCTGCCTCGCCAACAGACAGAGAGGAACAACAGTCCTTCTTGCAGTGTCACTCGTTTAAAAAAAAAAAAGAAGAAGAAGTTCACCGGGTGTAAACCTGCACGCCTGTCACTATTCACACATTAGACTCATTATAAACATATATCCATAGTCGCCCTCCCTGTATATACACTATGTTGCTTAGAGGTGGCTTCTACTTGGGCGTTGCTAAGGTGGCTGTTGAGAGCGTATTTGTAAAAGAAGAAGAAAGTTCGACTTGTCCGAGTGCTTGGAATGGACGGTGCATGTCCCCCGCGTTTGATCTCATTGATTCGCGCCGGCGCCCGGGTCCATGGCCGGCGTTTAAGTAGCGAACGGCCTGGCCGCGGCGGGCGCGGGGCGCGGGGCCGGGCCTGTGCGGCCGGCGGGCGGGGGCGGGGGCGGGGGCCGGGCCGGGGAGCGCTCATTAGCATTCTGACATCAGGGCTCCTCCCCGCACCCCTCCTCTCCCACCTCTGCCGTCGCTCACCCCGCTCCCCCGCGAGCCCGGGGCCTCCCCTCATTCCCTAGAAGCCGCCCACGTCCGCGCCCTGGGAGCCCGCACCGCAGCGCCCACCCCGCACCGCCTCCCCGGCCCGCACGCCCCCCCCCTCCCCCCAGCGCCCGGCTTTCCAAAGGGAAACGCTTCCCAAGTGCAGCATGCGCGCAGGCACCGCACGCCCTCCACGTGCAAAAACACAGGCTGGAGAAGGAGCCGTCCCGAAAATGGTAGTTTCCGTGCAAAACGCCGTGGGTCGGACTCGCTCTCGCCTCTTTTCCCCCCTCCCCCGCCCCCTGACACCCTCCCTTCCCTGTCCCCGGGCCCAAGGCGGGGGAGCAGGGGCCTGGGACCCTGAGCAGGCGGCTGGACCGCGGATCCCCGGGCGCCCCGCTAGGCTGAGCGCTCAGCGCGCCCCCTCCCCGGGCCCAGGACCCCTCCCCGGGCACCCCGGCCCCCTCCCCCGGCATCCCTGCCCCCTCCCCCGGCACCCCGGCCCCCTCCCCCGGCAGCGCCGGTCCCCCGGGTGGCCGCGTGGCGGGATGCCCGTCCCCGCGCACAGACCCTCGCGTGGAGCAGGACAGCCAGCCGTCACCCGCGAGCAGGAAAGCGAAACTTGTGGCTCCCAACGGCGAGCGAAGGGTCCGGCTTCTCGGGCGGCCAGGAGCCCGGGAAGCATCCTCGCGGCGTCCTCCGGGCTGGTGAGCTAGCCAGGTGACCGCACGGCGAACTCCGGGCGGGTGTGACCAGGTGACCGCCCAGAGCCCGTCCCCGACCGTTACCCGGACCGTTACCCGGACCGTTACCCGGCCGGTCCCCGGTGCAGGCGCCCGCGCCGCTCCGCTCCGCCCCGAGCGCTGGGCGGTCCAACGGCATCGCCTCCCGAGCGCGCCGGACTCTGAGACTCTGTGCTCCGGGTCCTGCCGCTCCGGGCACGGCCCGCCTCGGACCCGGTCCGCCGCGGGTCTCGCCGCGGAGACGGGGCTGGGAGCGGCGCGGAGCGGCCCGTGGCCCGGAGGCCGGCGCGCCGCAGGCAGCTCCGGAGGGACCCGGACCCTCCGCGCGGGGACACGCTGAGGTGCGTGCCGTGTGGACGTGCGGCCTGAGGCGGGAGGATTCCGGCACCCGAGCCCCGCGAATTAAAATCAAAGGGAAACGTTTAAAACGGCCTTTGGGGTGCCGGCCGGCGTCCCGCTGCACTGACTGCATTCGCCCGCGGCGCGCGCCCCCTGCCGGCAGGAGCTGGGAGCCGGCTAGCGCTCCGCCGCCCGGATCCGGCATCGCGGGTGGGTTTGCTTGCGTTCCTTTGTGCAAAGATCCAGGCCCCAGAGAGCCATCGCCCCCCTCCCCCTTGGGGCCCTGGAAAGGCCAGTCCGGGCTTCCAGAGATGTGGCATCTTCGGGCACCGGCGCGCGCCACCGCTGGCAGCACCCTCCCCTCCCTCCAGGTCCTCCCCGGGCCGAACACCTAAGGGCGGGTGACTTTCCCCCTCTGGGCCACGTGCACGTCAGAGTCTGCACTGTGACCCCTGGCGGAGGGGCTCTGACCCCTGAGCGACCTCTCATTCACTCCAGCAGGGCGGGTAAGAGGGAGCAAAAGAGGCGTCTGTCTGCACAAAACTGAAGCCCACAGCGCGGTCATGCCCACAGGATGGCCGTGGAGACAGCTCCGCGGTGATCAAACCCCCTGAGCTCCCGGGAGAGAGGCAGGGAGGCCGGCAGGAGGAGAGGGGGGGAGGAAGGAAATGGAGAAGGAAAGAAGGAAGGAAGGGAGAACAATGGCTACATCCAAGGGGTTTTATGGATTCCCAAATTGGTTGCCAGGAACCAGGGTGTCCTGTTACCGCCCGCTGTGCCCTGGGTCTGGGGAAGGCGGCCAGTGGCCACAGGGCTCTGCAGGCTGGGAGCCTGGGGTTTCAGTGACACCGGGAGGGTGCATGCCTCTCCCTCCCATTACCTCCACCCCCATAACCTCTCCCCCCCTCTTCCAGGCGCTGCCTGCGCCCAAGGTCACGCGCAGGGCAGGGGGTGTGGGCACGGAGTGTGGGCAGGGTGAGTGCCGTCCTGCTGGCCTCGGGATTGGAGCCCTCAGCTTCCAGCTGGCCCCTCCAGGGCACCAGGCCCGGGGAGAGCCCCCACCTGGACAGCAGAACCAGCAGAGCCAGGGCCACTGCTCTCCCGGGTGCTCAAAGCACCCAAAGAGCAGAAATGATGATTTTCCCCCAAAAAGGGGGGAGAGGGGGTTCCAATGAAAACAGGCCATAGGAATACCCACCAAGTGGTATAAGTACACAGTTTCATTTCATGAGCTTGTTCACTTCCCACCAAACTAGACATTTCCCACGCAGCGGACCGTCTGTGTGAACAGTGTCCCGGAGTCCTCCCCTCCTAAGGCTGGAAAAGCCTTTGGAACTCCCCGCACTGAAGAACTGGGGCCTGAAGGATATCCACGGCCTGTTTAGTAACTCTCACCCCCGAGAACAGTTCCATGTGGAACTGGGTCAGAAATAAAGCGTGTCCCACCTCAGGCACCGGGTCAGAGGAACAGAGCTGACTTCCACTTTAAGTGATAACATCCTTTATATCAAAAACTTACTTTGAGTGACGTTTTGAGAATATACAGCACAGTAAGATTACTAATATTTTTATAATGGGCTTTTTGCAACATTGTAAGCGTGAAGATGAATCAAACTCAGAAAGAAGGGGGAAATACTTAAATAACTTGTCCCTTAGGCTCAATTTTTAAATATTGTTCCTTTCCAATCTGTAAAATACTGAAATGGGAGGCGGGGGGAGACCACTTTTTTAACTCTCTAAGAATTGTTCACCTGTTCCCTGAATGAATTCTTTCAGGCTACAATTGTTGAATAAAAACTAAAGAAAGTTACAGGGGAACACTGCAAAATAAAATAAAATTACCCACCCCAAAAAAAAATTTTAAAAAACAACCACCTGGGGAAATATTTGTAACCCACAGTATTGAAAGGGGCTAATTTTAGTTACAGATAGAGAAATTATTTTTAACGTTTGATAAAATTTAGTTTGTGGACCGTGTGAGTAAACACATTACTCCTTCTTTAAAAAAGAAAAAGAAAGAAAAGGAACCCTTAAAAACAATGTTAGCCCTACACCTGATGTGACAGACACTAACACTTTTTTATAGGCTTTGGAGGTGTTTTCATCAATATCCACACACCATGTTTTTTAGCTTTTACGTTGCTAAAACGCAGTGGCACGTTTTCTGTACAATATCCCACTGCTTGTTTCTCACTCTGGGATAACCGCTGTCTGTACTCCTCCGCTGGCCGGCCAGACAGCGTTCCAGGGGAGACCTTAGCAGGTGGGTCTTTGTTAGAATTGCCATCGGAGCGTCTTCTTCACCAATTGTCGTCCGTCTGACCTTGTCCCCCAAATCCTGGAGGCACCCTCCAAAGTGGGCAGGAGCCCTTCCAGATGGTCCCAGAGCTCTCCCTCCTGCCAGCCACCCCTGCGGGCACACCGCAGCCCGCACAGAAAGCCCTTCCGCAGCGCAATTGTTGAAAACACACTCCCCCCTAGAGGCGGAACGGGTGAAACAATATTGCACAGAATTCCAGAACCTGCATGTGCTGTAGGGAGGGCTGAGGGCGTCTTTTTCCCAGGCAGTGGGTGGTTTTGAGGGAACATTCAAGATGTGGGAGGAAACAGGATGAAAAAAATTAAAACTTCGGCTCTAGGTCTCAGCATTCCTCAGCAGGGACTATGTCATTACCCCATCATTTGGTTTGGTTTTAATACAAATCTCAGATTTTTTTTTTTTTTTTTTTTTTTTTTTGCCAGCACTAAAAATAATAGTGATCACATGTTTTTTTTTCTACTTAAATTTATGATTCAGTTTTCTCTGGAACTGCAGTCAAATGCAACCTTGAAGGATGCTTTTGAAAACACGGCCCTGATGGGTCCCATTTGTTTGGGTATCACTACCCTCGTAACTTTCCATCAGCCAGTCTTGCTGTCACTTCCTTGGAGGTGTTCCGAGACCAGGTGACATGAGAAGGACTCACAGAGCCGGGCTGTGGTTTAACCTGAGCATCGCCGGGAGCTTTCTCGGATTTGCAAGCCGCATGAAGAATTCCCCCGTCACTGGCTGATGGGCACATTATTTAACGCAGGTTATTACAGCCACAAAAGCAGGGGAGGGGCCTCAACTTCACGCACACCAATATTGACAACATGTAGTTGGTTTATTCAGTCGTACCCTGCGTTATTCCAGAAAGGGTTTGGAGACACACACAAAAAGAAATGCTAGACAATTCCCCTCAGGCCAAATGCACGCTGTTCCTCGGGCCCTTACTGAGACTCCAGAGCCTCAGCAGTGTTTTCTCCCCATCCCAGTTCCAGAGTTCCCAGTCACACCCTGTTTTCTTTCCGTTTTCTGGGAGGGGTCTCGTGGACCAGGCTCGGAGCGGTACTCCATGGAGACGGGAGGCGTTCAGAAGCCTCGCAAACACATCCCGAGGCCATCAGCGAGGCTCTCTGACCCTCAGTTTCCTCCTTGTCTTCAGTCTTCTTCCGTCTGACCCGGAGGGCGTGTCATCGCCCCGGCCTGGCAGGAGGAAGGAGGAGAAGGGATGGACGCCAAGTCCTTCAAGTACAGAGGGACATGAGCACATGGCAGACCTGTAGTCCCTTAAATGGCAGTAAAGAGTATTACACCAAGTCGGTGTTCAGTAAACGCCATGAAATAAAGGAATAATCTCAAAACCCAAAATGATTGGCTACGTGTGACTTGTTTGGAAGCGGCCGTTGTCCAATCACAACAGATCTTATTTAATCATGCTGGTTTGCTGAAGGTGGCTACTGGGGGGGACCACTTGGCAATTACTT